ACACTGAAATAACCAGGACAAACCTTGAATTTGTGAGTCATAGATCTCGGTAGAAACCTGAGATATTTGATAATATTTTGGAAGTGGGAGAAAAATCACACTAATATATTTGCATCACTAGGTTAAGTAAGGCAGCAAGACAGAAAACAGAATTCCTATTCCTGAAATAGCTAAGGTATTGACAAATTGAAATGTAAGACTCATATTGATATGTGAAGGAAATAAAGGTTTTCCCATTCAGAGATCACTGATCCTGTAGTTTAGCCTGGGTAGGATTGAAATGTCTGGGCCAAGCTCAGTTAGTGCACTTTGGGTGGTTTGCTACATGTCTCCAATAAAAAACAACAGCAACGTCACATAATAAAGGAAGAAAAAATATATAAAAGTCTAAATTTTATTGGGTGTAAAGCTCTTAAATAACTGCTGTTCACAAAGGGTATAAAAGATCACTGAGTATGAATGCATGCTCCCCACTAAAATGTGTTAGTCCTGCTGTTTACTTCCTTTTACTATTACGATTTGCTTTCTTTCAGTTGTTTAAATCCTTATACTTACAAGCGCAGAGGGATTACTACCCACTCCCACCTGTGGACAACTGGAGCTAGCTGTTTGTCCAACTGATAGAACCAAAAGTGGGTGTGTATCTCCCCTTTCCCAACACTGATTTTTTCTGTATAAATTTTTATTTTTCAGTAACACAACTGAAAGGTAGGAGACAGGTTGATAGGAGAACAAAACAGGAATAAACTACCACAATAAATAGTCTAAACTCAGAATGTTTGTTGCTAACAGATGCATTTAGGTAAATGCGGTTACCTCAAGAGGTGTTATCTTCTGGGGATCCTTATCATAATTTTGTTTTAAATCCAAACAGCTGTTGTTTAACTACCACAGACCACAATTTATCTACAGCTTGAGGCCATAAAGGTAGCTTTATTACACACTTTGTTTTTCCCTCCCCCTCCAATTTGATTTAATTTCAATGTGTCAGACATCAAAATGCTATATACAATTTGCATATTACGGATATGTACTACCTCCAATTCCCATACCCAGTTAAATGGGAGAGCAGATACAGAATACCAAACGGGGTGGGGAACTTTGCAAAATACCAGTAAAAGGTATTCTCTCTCATTTGACATACATATAAACTGTTTTGGCAAATGTAGTTCCTCAGAGAACAAAGAATTGTTTCTTTCCTAGGATGGGAAAATGAATTGAGGCCACTTCTATAGCCTGTTCTTCAGAACTGGGCCTAGATGCCTAAAAGAATAAAGTTTTAAATCTCATGCAAACACTGTGTTCACACATGAATCATGACTTTTCATCATTTGGCAGCTCTCAGTTGAATGTATGAACAGACTCTATTTGAGAAGATTTGAACATTTCTGAAAATGCCAGTGTAGCCATGGAAGCAAGCCTTTGGGTTTTCCAGAACTCTTCATTCAGCTGGTTCGGGTGGGCAATGTGTGGCCATCCAGAAGTTACTGAATTGCAGTTCCCTTCAGTTCCAACCAGCATATTCAATGGTGAGGGATGACAAAAACTGTAGTTCAGCAATATTTGGAGTGCCACAGTTGACCTTATCTTAGATATTAAGCAAACCCCCCCCCCCAGAAAAGGTGAAAGAGGGATGATGTTGAAACCATGTAGTCTACATTTGGTCATACAAGTGGAGTCTCTCTTATCTGGAATTCCAATATCCAAAATATTCCAAAAACCAAAACTTTTTTATGAGTGGCTGAAATAGTGACACTTTGCTTTCTGATGGTTCACTGTACACAAACTTTGTTTTATGCACAACATTATTAAAAATATTGCTCAGCAGGGTTCTTGGATGGGAAACTAGCAGTGAATACCAGGTGCTGTAGTTTCTGTTTCAGAAGAAGGAACTGTCAAAAACGCCTCTGAGTAGTCCTTGCCTATGAAAACCCTATGAAATTAAGGAAGTTACCATAAGTTGACAGGAGACTTGAAGGCACATACACACACAGATGATAAAGACATGAAGATGGCAGTTTGCATTAATAATGAGCATGGCAGCATACTATGCATATGAGGACAAGCACAGTATTTTATTTGTGTGTGGTATGAAAACCATGATGTGGCCCTTAATTTTACTGCACTCAGTAGATTTAAGTAGGATGTTGGATTTCAGTTTTGTTTTTAAAAAGGTGACATATTGATTTTGGAAGAAATGAGTGACAATCATGATTATGTGAAACTATTTGGTTAAGGTATAAGTCATCACATTTGATCACCTGCTTCTTTCAGCTGAAGTGGGAATTTTAATACTGTTTATATTTCAGTGTCAAAGAAACAGGACCCTTTTGTTGCATTGTTATCTTAAGGGTGGACTACACAAACCTGTTGGCACTTATCAAAAAGAATCATACCATAACTCAATTACTAATTGACCTTTCCAACTTCAGCATCCATCAAGTAACCTGAGACAGCTGACTTTACTGTTCTGCAAGAGCATGTTAACAAACTGTCCAGTGAGAGAAAAGTCACTTTAAAAATGAGAAAGACAAAAATAAAACACACCCATATTCTAATAGAGTGTGCTCAAAGCCATCAACCTAATTTCATTTCTCTCTGACACTTAGCACTTATAGAAAGACAGGTGTGGCTAGACATGGCAAGAGGAAACAAGAGTAAGATTTTCTTTACATGAACAGGCTAGCCCTGCGGGAACTATTTTCATGAGCGACAACACTTTAATTTCAAATGGCTTCTTTGAATATAATATCTTTACCCCAAGGGTAGTTAATATGAGTACAAGATGTAGCTTAAGACATCAAAATGAGTATATGAGCCTTGTTTAGGTGTTTGCCTGAATGCACAAAGCCCGTGAGTACATACAGGGCTGAGGTCATATCTACTGGACACACATCCTATGAAGGGGTGGGCATGCTCTGGAGCCTGGAGGTATAAACAGTGTCTCATTTAGGATAATCTGGAATCCTGGAGTTTTGCAGTGCTTTGCAATGGCTGCCATTTTGGATGACTGAAACTGACAACTCATCACTCCTGGTTGCCTTTTAGGATGTTTGGGATGCCTTGAGTATGGAGGTCCTGAAGCCTCCCCCAACTCACATTCACACGAACAGGAAGAGAATACTGTGTGCAGTACTGTGTGGGCTACAATTCCCCTCATCTCCAACTGACATGGACAACAGGATGAACCATGTTAGCTGTAGATGATGGGAGTAGTTCAAAGGGTGTCCAAAGTGAGAAAGTTGCAGGTTGCTACCATGTTTGCAAGCTCTTTCACTAATAGAACTTGTGTGCTTGGAAAAGCTGTTTAACAAGAATAATTTTGACACTGGAACTTTTTCTTAGTTCTGAAATGCAGTGATGGACTCATTTCATAGCTAAATTCATGGTTTAGTAGGTTGCCACAAACATAAAAAAAATTAAAAATAGAACATGGACAAATATCCACCATTTCGCTTGCAACATGAAATGAATTCTAAAATGTGATTATGGAAGAAGCCAACCAAAGTGAAAGTACTCTTACATTTCATTGATTTCTGTCGGAGAATTAAGTTTATGCTCAAATCTCTCCCACTGAAATCAGTAGCAATTTAAATCCCATGCACATATATCTGGGAATATGTCACATTGAATTAGTAAGACTTTCTTGCATGTATTAGGCAGCATGGTAATTAAATCTGACTAGATTGTGCCCAGTGACTCAGAATTACAGGCACATCTTGATTTACATTGGGTGTGCATTCCTGGACTCATGATGCAAATTGAGAATGAGGTAAATGCAAGGAGCCAGTTCATTTGACACACTGGAAATCAGGAGGATGTGTTCTGATGGAGATGAAGTATCCACAAAGTTAGTAATTTCATTCAAGCCACCACCAATTTTAAATAGGTTTAAAACACAAAGCATTAGAGCTTGTCTTTTCCACGCTAATGAAAGCCCATCTTTTCAGATGATAACACTTAAGTTGCTCACCTCTACCTAAGGAAGCAGAGCAAACCACTTCTAGCCAGACTCAATTCCAAGATTCCAGTTTCTTCCTTCCTCTCACCCTCACCCTTTAAGCAAGCGAAGGAAAAACCCTTCCTCCAAATGATGGCAAGATTAAAATTTCTTTCAACCCCCACCTTCAAAGCTTTCTTCCAGTAACACAAATATTGCAGTTGCTTTCTCTATCTCCTCTCTAACCCATCCTAGGCAGTTAAAAGAAATCCTGTAAGCTTTTCTTCTTGCTCAAACTGTCAAACAGCCTTGTTGCCTCAGTTTCACTGGTGCACTGGGAGAGGTATCCATTGTGGCCAAGACTGTTATTTATTAATTTATTACTAAAGGAATGTAGATTTGAACTGTTATAAATTGGGGCAACACAAATTGAAACTTGCCAGTATATTCTAGACAAAAAGTTACTTTCCTTTCATTTAGATTGTGCCCAGTGACTCAGAATTACAGGCACATCTTGATTTACATTGGGTGTGCATTCCTGGACTCATGATGCAAATTGAGAATGAGGTAAATGCAAGTTCCTTGTTTGTCTGTTGCAGCAAAAACAAAAGAGGGACTTGTAATACCATAACAAATGTATTATGACATAGAACGTTATCACACGTGGGCCAGAAAGTGATAATAAAGTGG